TAATAGCTCTGAGAGCCAAAGTTAACTGCCTGCTACAATACAGTACACATCAACCTCTTTCCAGCATTCACACCAACCTCTCTGATGCATTATAGCATAAGAGCACTTGATAATGCGATCAGAACATTTCCAGGAATATTCACCACCTCGTCTTTCACAAATGAGCATATGTCTGTCCAGCTATAGATTTGAGCTGTAGTAAAGAAATAGTTCATTCAAAAATGAAAATTTGCTAACATTTACTCACCCTCAGAACACCCAAGATGTAGATGAGTTTGTTTCTTCCTCAGATATGGAGAAATTGACCATTACATCACTTGCTCACCAATGGTTCCTCTGCAATGAATGGGTGCCATCAGAATGAGAGTCCAAACAGATGATAAAAACATTACAATAATCCACAAGTAATCCACACCACTCCAGTCCATCAAGTATTGCCTTGTGAAGCGAAAGGCTGTGTGTTTGTAAGGAACAAATCCATCATTAAGACATTTTTAACTTCAAAACGTTGCTTCCGGCTAAAATACTAGTCCATAAAACATAATAATGCTTCCTCCAGTGAAAAAGTCCATCTCCTGTTGTCCTCTCACATCAAAATCCACACACATATTTGTTTAGAACTGCTTTGGGCTGTTTTCACTTGTAAACAATGTGTGAATATTTCTCTCTCGATTCAGATGAGATGACTTTTTCACTGGAGAAAGCAATATTATGGATATAAGGCTTGTATTTCAACCAGAAGCAACAGTTTGAAGTTAAAAATGCCTTAATGATGGATATGTTTCTTGCAAACATGCAGCTTTTTGATTCATAAGATGTTAATTGTTGGACTGGAGTTGTGTGGATTACTTGTGGATTATTCTGATTATTCTCATTCTGACGGCACCCATTCACTGCAGAGGGTCTATTGGTAAGCAAGTGAGGTAATGCTAAATTTCTCCAAATTTGTTCCCATGAAGAAACAAACTCATCTACATCTTGGATGACCTGAGCATGATTACATTGTTAGATTTTTTATTTTTTTTTGACTAAACTATTCATTTTAACATGGTACAATTTACGATGGCAAAGCATCAGTAACATCTGCCCTGTAACAGCAGCAGAATCCAGAAAAGTATGTGTGAATGCTTTTATTCTGCTGCTGCCGCAGATACAGTACACGCTGACGACACCCCCCACTTCTCTCCATTTATCTATCTGTTCTCATTCTTTGTCCTACATGAACAAGCTGCAAAGAAAGCCACGAGACAAAAGAAGAAAGAGAAAACTGCTGTCTGCTCACACCTAAACATCAGCCTGAACACAATGCTGTCTAACACAATACTTGCAATTGTAATGAAATTCAGGGTGAGATTTTTCACAAGCATGGTATTCAATCCTCTATCTCCCTCCTACTGTCTAGCTCCTCTTTTAAACTGAGCTCACACATGCATAGACATTACATGTGAACGGCTTCTCACATGGGGAGGTTTGATGTCTATCAGCTCTGACTTATTGCACCTCTGCACTGAAACAATGGGTAATTGAATACATACACACACACATAAAAAAGCAGTTTTCATATACAGTAAATGACACAAAATCTGATTCCTCTAATTAACTTGCACTGAAGTAATTTGCGTTATTAATGTTGTGTAATGGGATTTGAAACATTTCAGCTCGGTTCATAATTCAGAGGAAATAAATGCTGTTTGGTAATGGAAAATGCAAGACTACACATGAATAATTTTAGCAGGTCAACATTCCAATTTAAAATCAAACTTCAAAACAGAACAATTCTAAGGATAAGGACAGAGCTGGAGTTAATTCCTATTCCATTCGCATGCAAAGTGATTTCAGCACCTTGGACAGCAACCTTCAGCACCGCCACGAGTCATTAGACATTATCTATTCCCTCGGGCTCTGAAGCCATCTTCACTATTCTGACAACATCTCTCAAAAAGCTTGCAAATACTTGCCACAGTAATGAAAAGCATCTACTTAACTCACACAGGAATGTACATATGTACAGAGACCCTAGAAAGGACACTTAAGCACCATTTAAAATGTCTGAATGCCTTTTCAACACTTTTTGTTTGTAATAAATGAAACAAGTTCATAGTTGTTCATGCGACTAATCTTGAACTGACTGCGTATATCCAATAAAAAATCATCAAAACACCAGCTTATTAAAAGACACTGAGCAAAAATGATAAAGAAAAGTGAAATTAATGAAGAAAAACACTTCATTTCATCCCAGATGCAACTTGCTTTAATATTTTCTATCTAATGCAATGGCATTTAGACATTTTAATGTCTGTGGCTTAAGTGGCCAAAAACTTTCTGCAGTCACTGTAGAAATATGACAAGTCATACTAACCCAAGCATGCTTGCATATTTCATATTGATTGAAGGTCTTCAATCAGTTGCACTCCAACAACTCCAAAATCCAGTTTCAATTTGGCACATTCCAGAAGATCTGATTCTACATGCTGAACTGCATGCTTGGCCTGTTTAAATTCAAGTCTTTCTTCCTACCCCGTTTCCTTTTTAATTTTCCCCCTCAATCCACCTCCTTGGGTTTTGATCATTTTTAGCTAATTAAGCCCTTTGAAAAGCCCAATAACAAACCATCAAGAGGAGGAAGAAACTAAGTGAAATGCAGATTCAGTGCTGCATCTCCCAGAATGCATCACAACAAACCCCCACAGCAACAAACAAGCAAGCGAAAGACGGCAGAGAAGGTTCATCGATGGTTCGCCAGGACCAAGCCACAAACCAAACGATGATATTGATGTAGGAAATCGTTCGATACTACAAATGAGCTACAGTTTGTTGACATAAGTCAAGTATAGATTACATAAACCCCAACCAACTGATCATTTACCAAGCACGGATCTAACAAGCCAAGATTAACCTCAGGGGGATGTATTAAACTGCAAGATGTGGGAAAAACTACAAATAAACACATATGCAAGTTACATGGAATGAAGGTCAATAACATGGCATGGAATAAAATCTATAGCCCTAAATTTTTCAGCACATCATAACAGCAAATTTGATCTGACTGAGTAGGATATGTAACTACAGTCATAACATGGCTTGGACTCTCCTGGCATCTTTTAAATTGTGCTTTTTTTAGATAATGTCTAAAAAGAACAAAATGTCTCCATTTAGATAATTTGTGACCAATTGTGTGACACAAATGTGTGATTGTAACCAAAACAAGAATGACTGTTCTAATTATATATTTTGTCCAGGTCAACATTTAGAACATCATTCATTCAAAAATGAACTCTGTGGACACCAACATCATACATCATTAGCTTCGCTACCCTTTAGCAAAAAATAAAGTAAGATCATTACTTTGAAATATAGAGACAAGGACAACCTAGATGTAATCCACAGCAAGGTGACATTGTCCCTATGACCGTTACTGTCCCTGAGCGGTTCTTCATCACAGTGAAGAATCCAGACAGCAGCGTTAGCGATCACCACACAATCTCTGAATGACACCTTCACTTACAAAAGTTACACCTCTCATTCTACAGAAGAAAGAATCAAACAAGCTCTGAAGAGAATGCATGAAAGACAGAAATGCAGTTAAGATAGCATTTGCATGCACTTTAGGGCACCACAGTAACAATCATCTATGAATAGTTTTTGACAAAAAAAAATGCACAAAGGCTCTTTGTTTGGACACATTATTGATGTGAAACAGATTTGCACAACAGGGAGTGCTGTTAAATATGGACCAAGCTAAATTTATTGAAATATTGACAAAACAGGCTAGGTAAATGATGAACGTAGGGGAAAAATATATAAATAAAATTATTGGTGGGTATTGAACAGAGGAAACAGAAGCTGAATGATAAGAAACAAATAAAGAAAGACCATTCTGCATCCGTGACAACCTCAGGAGAAATAACTATACTTTATAATAGATGAAGTATTCCGATGTTTGTCGTAAATGGTTATGGATAGAACTGGCAAAGGCAAACAAACATAAACTATTTGGTTTAAAAAATAGCCACTTTGTTGTCAAAGGGGAGTAGAATTTTTTTTTTGTTGGACAGATCACTTTCTAGTACGTAATTATGTCACTTGAGTAATGCATCAACATTAAAATGACCCCCAACATACACACACACACAAGCAGGATTTATATTAAAATGCCATATGTTGCACAAAGTTGTATATCATACCTGAAAAAATAAGTGGAGATTTCCCTCAAATAATCAAACATCAATTCTGTCCATCCAAAGTCATGATGCGAGTGTGTCTCTCTTTCTCCCTCTTGTGGACACATGTAAAAGTGACATTGCATTAAATATTCATCTCAAATGTTGTGTAATTTAGTAAGCAGTGGACAGGTATAACAACATACCTCACAGAAAGACTCAAATCTAAACCAAGGTCTCCTTTTCTTGTCCAAACCCATCGATGACACATGCACACAGGCAGGAACACCAGACTGTCTCAACCTGACTCTCCTAGCAGCAGTGAGACCTTGATAGGTTAATGTGCATTTTATAATTTGTCATTTGAAGCGCCATACCAATACATCAAGTCTATTTCTCACAAACAGTATGCATTGGTACCCTTTTTATTTGATTTAAGACTTTGTATTTTTATTAAGAAGGCTATACCAGACGCATAATCACTATACATTGATTTAACATTACCTTTACAATTAAATCTTTCACTGAAATTACAGAATAAATATATGCACAATTTTAACTTTGTCAAATCTTTGTGAGAGAGAGAAAACATTAAAAGTGCTTCCTAAAAATCTGTTAGTGATAGTATCCAGAAGCATTTTTCTTAAGAAAGTGCGTGTAACTCCATAAAATCTTGAAGTGTCATTAGATATTCACAAATATTGATCCTTGGGTGCGTCCTTGAGATAGATCTCTGTCTTTTGCTATATAGAAAATTAAATAGACCACTCAACGGGTAATACGTCGCTGTATTTCTATAGCAGGTGAAGTTTTTGCTCGATAACCTAGCTCCTTCTGCAGTCAAAGTCATGCAGCAAATTGCAAATATTCTACAAACTGTGCCAGGCGCTCCGGAGGTTCAACAAATCTGTTCCGTACAAAAATAATGGGTGGTAACATTGCTGGCTACTCTGAAAAAAAGGCACTTCATTGAAAAATCTGAGTATGGCCTTTCCTCCAAAAGCGACTTGGGGGAAATGTGTGTGAGAGTGTGTATGTGTACGTGTGTGAAACATATAACTTTGCCATGCTTCTTTTTTGATACGTATTCTTTTTGGGCGTGGAGGGGGGGAGTTTGTGTAAGTGAGTTTACTCTTTTTTTTGTTTGTTTCCAATTCAATTAGAATCTATACGATTTCTCCAAGACTTCTAGGTAATCCGGCTTGGTTTGGAGTTTTGCCCTTAACTCGAGGTATTCACTTTGGGTTTGCTCAGGGAATCCTTTCCCCGCAGTGAAAAGTAATGTTTCTTTTAATCTGGCGTCTTGCTGTAAATCGGGGTATTGCATTCCGGGGGGATGTGCGTGTGCAACGTGCATGTCCTTTAATTTGGGAACGGTGCCGTACAGGCAGTCTACAAAACCCACCGTAGGGGTCGGTCTCTGGCTGTCAATCATGGTAGGGCAAAGCACTCCGTTCTCGTGAAAGCCTGCCATGTCACCTGACTGATTGATGGTGACAATGGTGTTGAGCTGGGAATTGGACACAGCCATCGTCCATTCCTTCTCTTTCTCCAGAAGAGTTCGATAATTACTGTTATTTTCCTTGGTTTCTGCAAACTGCTCGCCCTCGATCTCTCCTTCTCGTGGTTTGTAAATTGGATTGTTACACATTTGAGTAACGGGATGGGGGATGTAGTCGTAGACGTGACCGGGTGGCTTCTCAGGCGAGGCGGTCTGCCTCTCTTCAAAGATCTTGCACTGCATTTGAATGCCCGTAAGGTCCACCTCCTGACGCTTCCTGAAGGGAAGTTTCTTTCGCCTCCGCAGGACGAATGCGAAGAGACTGGCGGCCACAAACACGGAGGAGATGAAGAGAATCAGTAGGCTGAGGATCAGCACGGAGAGTGGAACAGCTCCCGTCGCTGGCGCTTGTCCTAATTCAGAGCCGCTGGTGGCTGTCATGTCATTGGGCAGGACTGGAGAAGAAGCAGTGAATTTCAACTCGGGGCAGATGACCTCAGCCTCCAGGGTGCGCAGATCCTTGCCAAGAGCGAAGTCTGGGGTCTTGCAGGTCACTTCCCCCACAACAATGACAGAGCTGAGCTTCTCGATCCACTGCTTGAGTGGGATGATGTCGCAAGAGCAGTCCCAAGGATTCTGGTGAAGGTCGATTTGAACGATGGAGTGGAGATGCTCCAGGACTCCGCTCACGGGAAGATACAGAAAGTAGTTGTTGCGCAGGTTGAGCCTAGCCAGGGAGGTGCCAGCAAAAGCATCCATGGGCAGGGTACGCAGCAGGTTGTCATTGAGAAAAACCAACTGTAGGTTTGGCATGAGGCTGAAGGCGGCCGGTTGGATCTCTCGAATGACGTTGTACTCGAAGTACAGGTAACTAAGCGCCTGCAGACCACGAAACATGCCTGGAGTGAGCCTTTCAATGTCGTTGCCATTCAAGTATAAACTTTTCAAATTAGGTAGGTTCATAAAGGCGCCTTCTTGAACATATGATATCCGATTGTTACCCAAGTGCAATAAATCCAAGCTAGAGAAGTTCCAAAAATCCGACCTGTAAATTTTCTGAATCAAATTCCCACTTAGATAGAGTTTCTTGGCGTTGAGTGGTCGTGGCAGCAGCTCAGAAATGTTGTGGAAGCCTTTCTCTTTACAATTGACAGTGAGGCCCAAGTCATTGATGTGTAAATTGCACATGCACCCTGTCGGACAAATGATTGGTATAGGGGGTCTGGTCTGGTAGGCAGCGACTGGAGGCTGATTCAGCCCTGGGTAAATGCTACGAGGAGTGGGTGGTGTTTTTGTGGGTCTGGGCCGTTTAGTCGGCTTTACGTGTCTCTCTCTGTACTCTACTGAGGAGGCTGTGTTATGAAAAGATGACAACATAGACGAAGGCTTGGTGGGCCAGACATTTTCGTTATTAAACGGTAATCTGGGAATGCCATGTTTGGTCTCAAGCTCTGCTTCAGAGAGTAAAGGACAAAGTTCGCTTCTCTTGATCTCACGAAGGTCCTTACCGTGTAAATGAAAAGGGTATTCACACGTTATGTCGCCCACCAGTGCCGTGTAGGGGATGCGCTCCAGCCAGGTTTTGAGCTGCACAATGTCACACACACAGTTCCATGGATTTTCCTCTAGCTGGATCTCCATCAAGCTGCGACCGATGTATTCCAACGTCCCTTTATAGGGTAGAATTCTTAAGCGGTTGCCACGTAAGTCAAGGTGCGTGAGAGATACGGACCTGAATAATAAACTGGGTAGCACGGGTATCAAATTGTCGTTCAAAATAAGTACTCTGAGTTTGTGCAGGTTCCGAAACGCCCCGCTCTCTATTCTCTTGATGACGTTGTAATCCGCCTGAAGATACTCGAGGCTCTCCAGCCCCATAAAAGTGTCATTCCTGAACACCTCCAGTTTGTTTTCATGCAGAAACAGCTTTTTCAAGATGCTCAGTCCATTGAACGCGCCCACATGTATGTCCTGTAGCGCATTATTCCCCAGATTGAGTGACACGGCATTGTTGAGGTGCAAAAAGCTGTTAAAATACAGCTTGCGCATGGAGTTCTTCGCCAGATTGAGTTTAAAGGGTCTCGTCCACGTCTGAGAGATCTGGCTGACATTTGTAAATCCTTTGCTGTCGCAGTGGACGTGGAAAATACCCTCCTTGACTTCACAGTAGCAAGGGTCAAAGCAAGGCTCATCTATTTCTTCCGACTCGTCCAACAGAGGAATCGGCGTAGTCCATCCTAAAGCTATTGTGCTTAGCAGGGTAAACCACAGCATCCTTCCGCCGAGTCTTGATGAAGTTAAGGCTGAGAGCCACTTCACAGCACTGCAACAAAACACAGAAAAAGAGCGTCAGATGAGAAGGCTCAGACAGCGAGTGACAGTTGCAATACTTTGAGCGTTTCGCACAATAAACTACACAACAAACACCTCCTTCTTCCACATCATGACATGTTTACGATAGAGATCATGCATTATCATGGGTTTGACATCTTTCACTCGATGATAGCGTGCACTACACCCAAAAACACATTCAAGGGCATAATCACCACTATTGTTTTTAACCACCGAAAGAAACAAAGCACATCTAAACTGTTTAATGCATATCACCATTAGAAACCGTCTATTTTGTATCTCACTACATCTGTCACACACATACAAACACAGTGCAGGACAAAAAACATTTGGAAAAATATGACTTTTGTCAATCCTTAATAATCATCCCTTTCCACGATCATGCAAATCTCAAAAACATTAGATCAATAAAACATGAATTAAAAAAAATAAATGCATACTTAAATCGAATCAACAGCTGCATCCACTTAACATTTCAAAAAAACAATGACAGGTGCATCCCAAGACTGTCGCCAAAACGCCAATTAGACCTTTAATGCGTATTTGCTTTCCACAGTCTGAATGCACTTAATTAGCGCAGATGTTATCAGCAGATCAGTGGAGAAACTCAGAGCCAAATGCTGCTGAGTGTGCCACACTCTGCGGATCTCTTGGATTTCGAAAGGAAAAAAAGGACCAAAAGCCCTCGAAAGATCCTTGTTTTCCATCCAGAAGAGACTGCAATTTTCCATGAAGAGCGCACTTTGTATTTTCCTCCCACCCTTCTCTGGTGTCCTGGCTTTAGCAATCAATTCCTATGTCCTTCCATTCCCAAGCGATAAAGTAGCGGATACCTACTCGGTTTTAGTGGTGTCCAAATTGACATCTCCAGGGTCTGGAGACGGGTGATCCCAGGTTGCCTCCGATGGTTGGCTACAAAGAAAAAAAGAGCATGCATTGGAATGAAACGCTTTTAAAAAAATCTCCGTATTTTACGCACAAATAATAATAAAAAAATATCAATGTTAAACTTAATATTAAACTTGCATTTTAGATATTTTTACTAAAAATACGTTTGCTAAAACACCTTTAAAACTGGGAGATTGGTACAGCAGTCTGCGCAGTTACATCAGAAACAAATCAATGCATCATTTGATTAAATACAGAGATTATTCTGTGGATCACCCAAGTCATTCTCCCATCTCCAAAAAGTCAAAATTCACCTTTTTTCACCGGAGCATCCGAAATAAGACGAGTTTAAAGATTTCCTGTGCTTTTCCCCTGTCTCTCTCCCTCTCTTTCGGTCTCTCTCTCTCTCTCTCTCAGACCAAGAAGAGAGAAGATGAAGACGTGATTTGAATTAAATCTCCTTTTTTCTATAAAGGTTTGTTTATGATGCGGTTCGTTCAGTTCCGGAGCTCAGTTCCGCTTCGTGCGGTTCTGTTCGGTTGTCCCACTGCTGCGCTGCTCGCGTCTCTCATCGTGCCGGAGAAAAGCTTCGGATCGTCACGGAACTGAGCTTTAAGAAAAGCGAGCAGGGAGGGAGAGGGCAGAGATTGGAGAGACGGCGTTGGCGGAGAGGGTTGGGATGGAGGAGGCACGAGCTGTTGAGCGCGCTGAGTGCCGCACCGGGAGCGCGCGCGCATCCGTGTGCTCTCTCTCTCTCTCTCTCTCTCTCTCTCTCTCTCTCTCTCTCTCTCTCTCTCTCTCTCTTCATCAGCTATGTAACGTTATGTTATAGGGCGATCTCATCTCCGATTTGTGTTCAGAGATAAATGTCACAGGTTATTTAACTCTGAGCTTCATCGGTGAACTCTTCTGAGGCTTTGAATGTCCCATTCAGTTCCGTTGTGCACCGTTTTTCATCTTTCTTTCCTTGGAAAATGTCACTTCGTTCGTTGAAATGCGAGTCCGGGGTTCCTTAGCTTAACACGGCAAAATTACAAACGAAACTATCCGATAAATCTGTTTATTTTTCCTCTGTATATATTTAGTTTGGTTTTATCTGCAGCGAAGACAGCTGAGGAGAATTCTTCTGTGTGAAGCTCCGCGCGTTTCCCGCGCCTTGTCTTCCCGCGCTCTGCCTGCAGCGGGCAATCTAGCTCTGCGCGTGGGCAGTGGCGATGACAGGATACCCCTATTCTGCAAATTTACATGGAAATGAGGGAGAGGTTATGGGTAACACTCTGTAATATGATTTATTAATGACATAAAAAACATTATTACTTTAAATAATGCTAAATAGATCGTTAATATAGATCCAAATAGATATGGAATTTAACTTTGATTTATAGGGAAGACCGGGTCTAGCTTTTGCACTTTTACTGTGAATATTCCAAAGGGTAAGTTTATTTCTAAAATGCAGGTTCTATAGGTACATACTGCAAATCGTAGTCTTAGCTACTAAACAAAACAAAAAAAAAACTATGGAGTATTTCCACCATTATTTTCCTGAAGACAAACAAACAAACAAACAAACAAAACAGAGTTGATTAAACACACTTTGTCATTTTGCTGTAAAAATAAATAAATAATAATAATAATAATAATAAAAGAAAAAAAAAGAAAAAACTGTAAAAACGTAGACTTTACAACATAAAAAGTGATAACTTGCCCAATAAAATGTGACGACTTGCCCCAACTGATATTTATGGAAAATAGACTTGTTTTGACAACACAGTTTGACTTTTAAAAACATTTTGACTCGAAACCGTATAGCTAGAATTTGTGACAACTTCCCTTTGATAACTAGCCGTTGTCTTATATGTTTCAGTTTGAATGTACTTGAACTACTGATCTGTTCATATTTAACAGAGATAATGTTTTCAGTTATTTAATTCAAGTTATTATGAAGTGTTTAGAGCGTAGGCTATGTTTAAATACATTTACACAAGATTTCATAATGAGATTTGAGTTTCTGTCATTTTCATGAGTCATGCTTAATTGGATTGCTCAAGGACGATAAATATTGTGTTGAGGGTGATGATGATGATGATGATTGTAGCTATAACTATCATGACTGTCATTTTGGTTATTACAGATCAGATAAAATCTGTGATGCTAATCAAAATGTTTTTTTTTTTATGATGCAAGGCTGGAAACTCTTTGACATCATTTTTTCCTCTGGTGTTCTCATCCACGTCCGTCCTTCTCAATAGATAACTTCCCCAAATGGGTGTCACCAAATCCTTTAAACAGACAAAAGATACAAAAGAACACCTTTATAACTTATATAACTGAATTTATATTATGGAATTTGACTTGGCTGAGATATAAAGTTCAATCCAGCACACAACCGTTGCATTTTATTGAAATTAATGGACTCCAGGTTTCCGTCTCTTCTCATTAATATACAGGTAGACCTACGTATGTGTTCCTGATTAATCAGGATGATTACTTTGAAATCAGCTTGTGTTTTCTGTTCCATTATATTCCAAAAATATTGATTAGAATGTAGTAATATGAGATAGATTGTAAAAAAACATCCAATTTTTTATATTAAAACATTGCAGGTTACTCACTTAATAACAGCAGCATGGCTACCAGTAAACATTTTTATATTGTATAGATCGGAATTATTATTATTGTGCCACAGCACACTCTCATTAAAGATGAGCAAACTAGTGAGTGAAGATTTAAGACTAAGCCTATGGCAACTAAAAGGACCCCAAAACCACATGGTCAGTGAGAAACATTTGTACTCTGTGCTCACCTTTCACAATGCACTGACGCATGCAACATAAAGCCCCACCTAGAGGCCTCTTCTGATTGGCTGGTTAGTATCAGTAATGCCGGCACAAGGTGGATTAACGTCTGCAAGAGAAAGAAGAGGAGAGAGAGAATGAAGGGGTGAGTGAAGAGAAGGTTTAAGAGTCGCATCTGGGTTGGTGTGCAGCAGTGTGTAAAACTGCCAGTCAATCATCTTGTCTTGTGTGAAAGCTATCTTTCATTTCTGCCTCTGCCAGTCACTCCTAAATCCCTTTATTCCTTTTTTTGTTCTGCTGTTTTTTCTCTTTTATAAATCCCAGTGTACTAAAGCCAGTTCATAACATGTGTTGTTATTTTCCTCCTGCTTAATTTGCATTATTTTCCCATCAGTATGCAATTCTCTAATCACAATTTGCCATTTCTAATCGCCTCTGATGTTACTTCTTGTTTTTAATTAATGCTGAAACATGCATGTTGTTCTCACTGGATTATTACAATTAATGGCAAAATGAATGTTTGGAAATGTAAACTGATATTTCCTACAGCAAAAGATAGAAATAGCTGTCTTAAAACCATTTTTTAGCTGGTGAAAATACTACTGTTCTAATCCTTTTGGCCACCACTGTATATATTTATTTATTTATTGCCAAAAATCAAGGTATTTATATACAATAATGGCATCCACATCATTCGCAATGCATCATAGGAGCGGAAGTAATGTGTTTTTACATTGAAATGTCTTTACACCATTAAATAATAAATGTTCAAGGTGTTCTTTGGCCTGAAACAACATTTCTCTTGTGTGCTTCTGTCACGGTTCATCAGCCACCCTGGAATCTCTCCGTCCTGAAAACAAAAATATGGCAATGTCAATCACATACAAACTTATCTTCCATCACTAAAGTACTTGACATGTCCAGCCTTAAATGCAGCAGCCATTACTCACAGTGACAGCAAAGTGACTTGACATTGAAAAGGTTATTTAAAGATATTGCACTTTGATGAAAGTGGAACGCTTATTCCTCTACATATGTTGGATCTCTAGAAGACCAGAGTCAGTTTGTGTCAACACACTCTTTATTTCAAAAGAAATGTTGACACGCAAGTGCATTTTATAACTTTTCACCCAGCAGTCATGGTCAATGGAGTCAATAGGTCTGCTGATTTGAGGCAGGTGTCATGTTGTGCTTCAGCTCTCTTTGATGTACAGTATCAGGTCATGGATGCACATGAATCTTTGGACAAGCAGCACCCAAAAATAACACCGGGGGCATGAGGCAGTTGGTGGAGCCATGTTTCACTGTGGCAGAAAGCCCGGGCGCAGTCAGCATGCCATACTTGTGCCAAAGAGACATGAAAGTCCACCAGGATTACTAGAACATAGGGTAAATCCCCCCCCAATAAACTCCTTTCCACCATAGCAATAACTGCATTCCGCTCAGATATGCTGGTACTATGAAAATTCACCCAGCAATTTTGCTTTTGCTCATATGTTCGGTTATGCAGTGTTTGTTCAAATCTCTAACCCTAAGTATTAACCTTCAGCGCAAAACACTGTAGCAAATGCACAGCAATGAGTGAAAACACTCAAAACACCTTAGCACCCACATGGCAACCAACATCAATACTATAGCATCAAGCTGGGAAGCATCGATTACATTTTCTACATAAAATGTAAAAATTCGTACTACCATTCGAAAGCTTAAAAGGAGTTGGTAAGATTTTTGTTTCACTTGAAAAAGTTTCTTCTGCTCTCCAAGGCTGCATTTATTTGATCGAAAATACAACAAAAACAGCAATGTTGAGAAATATATATTTTTTCCATTTCAAACAAATGCTTTACAGTATACTGTTATATATTTTAAAATGTAATTTTTCCTGTGATGCAAACCTGAATTTTCAGCATTATTACTCCAGGCTTCAGTGTCACATGATCCTTCAGAAATCATTCTAATATGCTGATTTGCTGCTCAAGAATCATTTATTATTATTATTATTATAAATGTTAAAAACAGTCAATAGCTCTGAGACACATTTTTCAGGATTCTTTGTTGAATAGAAAGTTCAAAAGAGCAGCATTCGTTTTAAATATAACTTCTTTGTAAAAAAAAAAATGTCTTTACTGCCACTTTTGATCAATTTAAAATATCCTTGCTGAATAAAAGTATTATTTTCTTTCGATTACATATATATCTCTCTTACTGACCTCAAACTTTTGAACGGTAGTTTCACTGTATGATTTGAATTCTGACTCTTGAATAAAACTTCTAGTTGTCTACTTTGAAAAGTGACCATGAGTTAAGACTGTAGTACAAAGGAATCATGAACTGCAACCATTTTAGTCTGAGTATGCCATTGTATCGCTCCTTAATATGAATTATATCTGGGTGTTTAAAAAAAAAAATATTCCAATCCATCTCAGTTTAGGGACCAATTCTCACTATTAACTAGCTTGCTTTATTATCTTGCATGTTACTAGCATATTAGCTATTTATTAGTACTTATAAAGCACATATAAATGCATGATTATATTCTAGAACCCCCGAAAAACCCAATACCTAACAACAACTACCTTACTTGCTATTAATTAAAAGATTGAGGGAAAACGCTTAGTTATAGTGAATATGCTTTCCCTAATC